TATTTTATAAATTGTTAGCGTTTTTGAACTGGGGATGCTAAATTAGAGTCTGGGGGTGCTTCGGCCTCCCTAATTGTGCCTATGTGACTGGCATGTAACATTAATATTTAAAACAATATATTATTTTTTTTAATGAGTACTTAATTGATAACAATTTAACATTAAAATAAATTACACAAACCCAACATATAGTAAGAAAATGACAAGATTGTTTTAGTTTTCTTTAGTGAAAATTTGAATTTAAAATTTACCACAGCCTTGGTTTGGCAATAGGTATATGTTGTGTGACTTGATGGACAAAATACAACAGTATTATTTGGTGTAACAAATTGTATCATTCCACCAAAATCTAAAACAGAAAGGAAATTTTAATAGAATACTTAGGTAGTAGATACTGTAGGTATTTTAATTACAGTAATTTAGTTAAATTTTTGGTTTTACTATGGCTATGACATATTATTATCATCTACTAAACGTTTTATTGTGTTTAATTAATTAACTTATTGATAATGAAGTAAAGTTTGTACCAAAATCATAAATGAATAACAAACTACCGGAACTTTACGGTAGAACAATAACTAACAACTCAATATGGTAACATGTTTTACCTAATCTAAATTTGAATTGTAATTTTTCAGAAAAATATTTTTCATTGATATTACCTATATTACAATAGTTAATGTAATAATTTATTAGTTTTATAATAATGTTTAAATTTGATAGAACGGAAAAATATAATAATTTTTAAGGTTCTCGAAATTAATATAGGTACCTATAAAGTACAAGAGCCGTTACACACGACCGATATTTCATCATACAATTTATTTATCGTATTAAAATATTATCGTACGATATTATAAACAACATGGTTATAAATTAAGTTGTTGATTACGATAAAATGTCGTACGACCAAAATATTTCAATCAAAATGTGCATAAATAAACTGATTAGAACGCACGAACGATAATATTTATCGGCTCAAAACATAGAAGTGTTTAGTATCCATCATGTCTTCGGAGGACGAATGTGATTTTTCTAATGGAGTCAACTCGCCAAAATCAATTGAATTTGTGGAAGACGATTTAAACATTGATATCGAGATTCTTATCAGCGAAGTCCAAGCAAGGCCTTTACTTTGGGAAAAGAGTTTAAATAATTATTCTGATAGGTATTTAAAAAGAGCAGCTTGGAAAGAAATTTGTATTTTGTAATATCTAGATTACGAAAAAGTATCAAGTCAATATTAAAAATTAAAAGGCAAGTATTAATCTAACATAATATAAATAATATAATAATGTATGATATAAATTAATATATTGTAAAATATAAATTTATTTAGTATTTAAGTAGGTAAGTACTACCTAAACACCTACCTATTATTTAAATTAATTATTTATTAGTAAAATTAATTATAGAGGAATAGTTACTGAAATACATAGTACTTCACAAAGTGAACCAAACTTTGATAGTCAATAATTGATGAAAAGTTAGGGAAAATTATAAAATTCCAACGATAATTTTAATAATATTTGTTGTTGAAATAATATGCTGCCGTTTGAAAATCAAAAGTAGGTAGTCGTTTCACCCCCCCCCCCCCCCAACACCAACGAAGGGTGACGAAATTAATAGTAATGTAACATTTTAGAGCTGCATTAATATTATTATAATTTAATATTGTAAGTAGTACAAACAATAGATACCTATATAATGTAAATTTGTAAATTGTTTTATCGTTAAACACTCATTATTTCACGAAAAATTGACTTTTGAAGAAAATTGTTTACACAACTAAAGAAACAAGCGGATTTAAAATTGTACAGTTTCATTTATTTAACAAACTTATTTATAGTAGTGAAACCACTACTAACATTTTATTTTTGAATTGAAATCTATATTAATAGTTTAATTAAAACAGAATTATTATTAACATTTTAGAGCTGCTTGTTTTATAAATTGCCAAAAAAAAAAAAATTCAAAAAAAGTCAATACTTTTCGAGATAATGAGTGTCTTATGATAGATTAATCACCTATATAATACATATATGCATATATATATATGATTATCGTAAATAATATAAGATATCAAAATATGTAATAAAATTGAAAAATTGTCGGTGAAATGTATTCATGTGATGTTTTATACTTGACATACATGACAATGAAAATAATAAAAATTAAACAATGCATTATGCATTTTTTTTATAAATTGTAATTTAATAAAATATTATACTTCTTCAAATACATATAGTCTCGTATTATACAATTATTTTTTAGTAAACATGTTTTGTATCTTATGATAAGATGCGAACCACATGAATCTATGACGAGAGCTGAGTGCGACTCAGCAGCAGTTTGGCCCCTGATATATAATAATTACCTATAGTTACCTAACCTTACCTATAAATACCTAATTGATGACTATAAATAATTATTAAATTAACATAGTTTTTTTTTGGTAACGTTCCTAAGAGGAAATTGTTTCATCTATAGGTCTTTCACCACACAAGGTGGATGGCTAAGGCTATATGTTGTATCAAATATATCTATTTCGCTAAAAATTTAAACTAACTAAAGCAGAAGAGAAATGACTACTTATGTGATATTTCAATATTTTTAGTCTTCATGTATATTGAAGCATGATTCATTGCAACACTATTTTTCGCTGCCCCATATTATTTAGTTTATTAAAAAACTTTGATTAAAAAAGATATTCATAAATACAAATATATATATTTTTCTCCTATTAAACAAAAAAAACAAATTAATAAGTTTAAAAGATTCATCGTGCATCAATCTCTATTTATACATTAATCTTAATACTTTTGGTTAAAAGCAATAATTATTTACAAGTAATTTATTAAAAATATAAAAAAAAATTCAAAGTATTTTTACATTCACCAATTTTAATTAATACAAATAAAATTACAATTTTAATTTTTTTTTAATGCTAATTAAAAGAACAATAATAAGTTAAGAATAAAATTTAATTAGGTATAAATAGAAGTTGACAATATTCTAAAAAAAGAAAACTAATTTTGTATACAAATTGAGACATTAAATTTTGCATCAATTTTTTTTATAACAGCACAGTATATTTACAAGTTATTTAGCAAAACAAAATAAACAATATACAAAATATATACACATTCATTAATTTTATTTTTTAAAAATTAAATTGAAGAAAACAATTAAATATATACCTCTTCTGTTAAACAGAAAAAACAATCTTTTGAATAAATTGAAACATTTTTCTTACTGCACTAATCTTTAGTTGTACAGAAGTGGTGAGATTTTTTATAAATAGCATTAATTATTTCGTGTCCAATTGCTTTACCCATAGGCGGTGGCACTGCATTCCCTATTTGCCTATGTTTGTTAATAATTGGTCCGTAAAATAAAAATGCATCATTAAAACCCTGTGATCGTGCACACTCTCGCACACTGACTACCCTATGTTGATTAGGGTGAAGTACCCTACCTTGTTTACCCATTGGCTCAGGATTTGTTATTGTTGTCGAACAGAATCCTTTCCACGCGAGCCGTCCATATAATCCTGCCCAGTTGTTGTTTCGGTTTGCCGTATGCGGCAAACACCATGGAATTATTGTGTTCGTTTGCTTATCTTGTGGATTACATTTCTTTCCACTAGCACATTGGCAAACTCCTCTAAATGCACCGCCTGGTCCTTTGCCATTATTTTGATCATGATATCTATACACAAGAGTGTTTGTCCAATTTCCATCAGCTAGTTGTACTTCTATGTTCGGTAGATCTCTCCAATCACTACCTTCACTTATAGGAATGAGTTCCATTCGTGCTTGCACTAAGAGTGACATGTCCTTGCAGATATGATCTGTCAGTATAGATTCTGAGAGAAGATTATTTGGATACCTCAGTAATTGTTGTAGGTGTGTTTTGGGCTTATGTTTATATGGAATAGCTTCATTATTTGCTCCATTTTTTATCTCAGGTAAATCCGACCAAGCATCATATACTGTTACAGTTCTCATAGGAGCCGATTCTTTATACTTGCAATTTGTTTTATACTTTTTTCCACCAATTTGTACATTTAAACTTGAATTTCTCTTATTGAAGACATGAGTGGGCTCTGGATAAAATGGTAATGTTTCACCAGGAGCTGCTGCCATTATAATTAACCGCCTTCTGGTTTGAGGGACACCAAAATTTCCTGCTTGGAGAATTCCAAATGTACATTGGTAGCCCATGCGTGTAATACATCGGAGTGTTGATCTTATAACCGTGCCTTTGTTAAATGAAACAAAATTCCTGACATTTTCCATAATGAAAAATTTTGGTCGATAGAAATCTATGTATGATAAAAATGAAACAATCAAAGAGTTCCTAAACAATGAATATTGACCAGAATTGAACCGATTCATGCCGCTAAATCCCTGACACGGAGGCCCCCCACAAATTATATCTACTTCACCTTTTTGTGGTATTTTTTGATTTAATTTGTTAGTTGTTTTACCCGACATAGCTAATTTTAACAAAGCGTTGCAATCTTCAACAAATACAATTGTATCGGGATTGTTTAATTTGAATGCTTCAGCAGCGTTGTCATCATATTCTATAGCCCATTTGCATTTAAGTAATCCACTGTCTTCCAATCCTTTGGACAATCCACCGCAACCTGCAAATATGTCCAGTCCTCTAAGTGGACTGATTTTCTTATAAGAAGGTATAGATTGTTTTTTACTTTCATTTATATAGTTAACAGGGTTTACTTCTCTTTTAGTTGGTATTGCTACACTTGAAAGTTGACATTCGGGAACAATGGAACAAGTTAAAAAATTGTATTTATTTTCAAAGTAAAATCGATCTGGTCCATCAGCAAACCAAGCAGCAAGGTCTTGAACGTTATTGATATGCGATACGTAACATTTTCCAACTATATCATCATATTTTATTTTAAACTGTTCGTCAGACCAAAATAGCAAATTCATATCCGCATTTTTGTCACTATTTCCCAATGGGATTTGATCAGCTCTATACATACGGCGTACAAGGATCTGAACATTACTTTTAAAATTTTTCGTAACATGCATACTTAATATTTCTGCAATTTCAAAAGGCTCCGGCGTTGATTCATTGGAACCACGCATTGTGTTTTCCAGATTCTTACGATAATGTTCAGGGTACTTTGTTTCACAAATATTTTTTGGTAAAGTGCTATTTTCATTTTTATTTGTATCATTAAACACAAATGGTGCTTGTCCTTCAAAGTTAATTCTTAAATCTTCTGTAAATATCCCAGGTTTTAAATATATAAAATCTCCAATTTTATATTCCTCATTGTTTAATTTGTAATTAAAATGAAAATATTGGTTTTTGTATTTTTCAACAAATTCAAATAGTTCAGGAACTTGAGATTTTATTTTCAAATTTTTTTTTACACAGTTAGTACAATATTTATTTTGGTTTGTACCACCGATTAAGGTTTCTGGAGTTTCCGGGTGTTCAAATCTTCCAAATTCTTCGTGATACTGGAATTGATAAAAAAATGCATTAATTTTGTTCCGGTCAACTGGTTCAGAAATATCTTTCAACTCTGCATTTCCAAGTTTGAACCAATCTTTGCATGGTTTTTTAAATTTTACATCTGCTATTTGAATTACATTTTTAATATCAATATCGGTACACTTTTCCAAAAGATATAGTTCCCGAGGGTCAGATGTATCACCAAGTATGGTATGATTACCATGTATAAATAAAATTATATGGGCCATAGTTTTAGAACAGTTTTGAAATAAATATTGAACATGACCAATTATAGGATTAATTGAAGAATCTTCTTTTACAATAATATATTTCCCAGATAATTCCTGGGGGGTCTTAATGACTTTTTTGCTTAACTTAATATCATCAAATACAGTCTTTTGTTCATTTATAACCACTACATTTTCATTTTTATACTGCTCTAACTGCGCAGTAAATATTTTTTCAAATATGTCATTTACCAGGTATGTGGTAGTGGCTTTACTATATTTTTGTTTACTTATATCATATTTCAGACTATTGGTTCTATGTATATTCAACCTTCTGGGAGGCATTTTTACTATAGAACTTGCATCGCCTGATAGTTTTTTCAATGTTTCAATAAATTGTGTACCAACTAGTGGAAAATTATATTCAGTTGTTGATTCATAGTCGACTTGGTCAACCTGGTCAATTACAAATTGAGCATGGGAAATGAGATTTTCTTCAGTGAATTTGATATTTGTTACCGGGTTTACAGAATTTACTACATAATTTAAAATATCCTCATAGGACGGATCATCAGATTCTTTCAGTTCTACTAATCTTTCTACAACTACTTTACTGAGATGTACCTTTTCGAATATGGATGTCATATACTTTCTATAACTTGGATGTGGTTCAACTAATAAATAATCAGCATAGTTAGTAGACACACCAATTACTATCTTTGAACCGCAATCATATGACTCTAAGAACCATTCTAAAATGGACCCCAATTGTTTAACTGCTATTCCATTTTCAATACTAGAATCATAGTCATAAATTGGCTTTACATAACCAGTTAAATATATTGGTTTATTTTGCTCAATAATTCCCGAATCCATTGAACACAAGTGTCCATTTTCATCATAAACACTATAGTTGGTCAAATTATGTTTTATAACATCCAATTTATCTGTATAAATATTTGCCAAAACTTCGTTCGTAAGTACAATGCATTCAAATTCGGCATTACACGGAATGGTTACGATTTCAGGATTTATTTGATAACATAATTCACACGTTACCGTACTTTTAGTCTGGACTTTTACTTTAGTCTGGATTTCACCACTGGCTGTTTTATTAGATTTCCGAATTGATTTACAGGTTACATTCACCGAATTGCTTAACGGCCGTTTAATCCCTTTTGAACTCGATGCGACATTATCTAATTCATGTGCCACGTGTTCTGCCATTGTTTATTCAACAGGTCTAGAAAATTCAATGTAATAAGTTAAGTGTAATTAAAATAATAATACAATAGTATAGCGTACATATACCTACCGGTTAAATTAAAATGTTCACCATAAATCCAAACACAAATTTCTTAAAAGAAAATTATTAAATCTAATCCATCTGTTCAGTGCACTGTAATTAAACAACGATATGCAAGTCGCACAAATAATCGGTTATGGTGATCATGAAAATTCAATAAAAATTGGAGCGTAAATCTTACTCTGCAGCACTATATTTCGTTCAGTGTAGCCAGCTGGTGGGGAATATCAATATTATGGACCACGACTAAAATGGGGATCCTACAAGTTCTCCCAGAATTGTGATAAGAGTTAATATTGTTATTGATATAAAAACGACTTATTTGATACGTTTTGTATTTATATTTTTTTTAGAATAATTTTGTTTCGTTATCTTAGAGATGACCTCAAAACTTCTACAGTCAACTACAGCTTATACAGTTACAGCTAGTACACCTATTGACAAACAGCCGATATTGCGTATTGATAAAGGTATGTTTGACTTAGATATTTGTATAGTAATACAATATTATAAAACTAATAAAAATATTAAAATGTTCCTTTCTCAAAGGTGTAATTACTAGTCGAAAAGCGATGTGGAATGTTATAACACCTCAAAATTCTCTGCGGCACAATGTGTCGTTCAGTGTAGCCAGCTGGTGGGGAATATCAATATTATGGACCACGATTAAAATGAGGATCCTACAAGTTCTCCCAGAGTTGTGATTATACGGTAAATGACAATTGTTCGAAAAATTATAAGAAACGAGTTTGAATAATGATGGTTGTATGTTTTGAAAATCTAAAATGTTCGAACATCAATACTAACCATCTATTAAATAAAATAAAATAACATTTTTTTTTACAAAATGAATAATTGATTTGTATTTAATTTTCTTTGTACATTTGTCTTTATTATCATTTATGTTAATAGTAATAATTTTTTACAGGTAATTTAGCAAAATCTAATAAATTTAAAAAAATATAATATTCATATTCATTAATTTTTATTGAAAAAAATAATAAAAAACAAAAGAAAAACAAATAATCTAAATTATTTTTTAAGCTAATAAAGAAAAAAATAAGAACAAGTTTAAAATAGATATTTTATGAGATATGAAAAGCAGTTGAAAATATTCTAAAAAGAGATATTTATATATGTAACAACAATAAAACATACTCCTCTCCTATTAATGAAAAATCAAATTATTTTTTTAAACCAAGAACTTTCATTTGGCTTCAATCTCTATATGTATAAATATGCTTATATATATTTATTATGATATTTTTAGTTAATGAAAATATTGTTTACAAGTAATTTATTAAAAATACAAAACATTGATTAAATTTAACTAATAAAATTATTTTCTGTTTTTTTCTAATAAAGTAATAAATAATAATAAAAAGTTTAAAATGGTAATTAATTAGGTATAAATAGTAGTTAATAATATTACAAAATAAGATTACCCATAGAATTAATAAATACAATAAAATATACTCCTTCTGAGCTTAAAACAGAAAACAAATTTTTATACAAACTGAGGAGTTTAATTTTGCATCAATTTCTACTTTAACATTTATCATAACATTTTATTATAACTGCACAGTATAATTACAAGTTATTTGGCAAAACAAAATAGTATATACACATTCATTAATTTTAATTTATAGAAATAAAATAAATAATTTAATTTCTTTTTTAAGCTAATGTTGAGAACAATAAGAACAAATTTAAAATAGATAATAAATTGAGTATTTGTAACAATTGACAATATTCTAAAATAATACAACAATAGAATTAAAAGATTCAATAAAATAATATACTCCTCTTCTGCTAATAAGAGAAAACAAATTTTGTACACAAACTGAGAAGTTAAAGTGTGCATTTATCACTACATTTACATTCATTATGACATTTTTTTTTATTATAGCACAATTAATTTAAAAGTTGTTTAGCAAAACAAAATAAAAATATACAGAGTATATATAAATATACATTCATTAATTTTAATTAATAAAAATAAATAATTTCATTTCTTTTTTGTTTTTAAATTTAGAGAAAAAAAAAATTAATTATTGAATTAATTAGGCATAAATAGCAGTTGAAAATATTCTAACAAAATATTTAAATAAATACAATAAAATATATGCTACTCATATTAAAGAAAAAGTAAATCATTTTTTAAACTAAGAAGTTTCATTTGGATTCAATCTTTATTTTTACATTATTATTGACATTTTTAGTTAATAGAAATAATTATAAACAATAAATTTATCAAAAAAATTATATACTATGCTTATTAAAACTAATTAATTTTAAATAATAAACATAAAATAAAAATATATTTTGTGTTTTGCATATAAAGAAAACAATAATAATAAAAAGTTTAAAATGTTAATTAATTAGACATAAATAGCAGTTGATAATATTCTAAAATAAAATAATCATAGAAATAATAAATACAATAAAATAGTATACTCCTCTTCTGCTATCAAAGAAACATACAAATATATATAGTATATTCATATTTGTATATTTTTATTAAAAAGTGCATGGAAAACACAAAAGAAAAAAAAAATTGTAATTTATTTTTTATGCATCTGAAAAAATCAATAAAAACAAAAAGTTTAAATCAGATGATTAATTAGGTATAAATAGCAGTTTACAATATTCTTAAAAAAGATAATTATAAACACAATAAAATATACTCCTCTCCTATTAAAAAAACAAATTATTTATTTTTTTTTTAACTATGAAGTTTCATTTGGCTTTAATCTCTATTTGTACATTAATTGCCATAGTTATTAAGAAGTTATTTATAAAAAAAAAATAAAAATAATATACAAAGTTTTTTATATTTATTAATTTTAATTAATAAATATTAAAATAAAGAAATTATTTGTTGTTTTTTGCTAACCATTAAAACAATAAGAATAAAAAGTTTATAATATAATGAATATAATGTACTTCAAGATGTACTATTAATAGACCCATGATATCAGAGTAATTTTACCCTTGATATATATATTGTCTACAGCTTGGTGAAATTGTTTACATTTATTGTCTTGTGTGTTCAAGCCCTTAATATTAGAAATGATGACAACAATTAACCTCCTGTTATATTTGATCCTATAGGTGGTTTTACCAAAGAATAGGTCCAAATTAGTTTAAATATTTGAACAAATAATACCAAATCTGGGTGATCATTAGATCCGCATAAACAAAATATTTAAAAGAATCTCTAAAAAAATGTTAGAAACAATTTTATACATTATTAATATAAAGACAATTATTAAGGATTTATTTTAAATTTACAAAATTTAAAATAAATATTTCTAAATTACGATTGTTTAATTTAGCTTTCATTAAAAATTGATAATTACAACAAAACTCAAGATAGTTAACAATTTCTAGAGCGGTCTTAAGTGAAACTTGTAAACTAAAATATGTGATATTAGTCAAAAAACTATAGGTAATTGATTTGTTTACATTATCATGATAATTTAAATAATGTGTGAAATGTACGATTACCTAAAAATTAGAATTGAGTTATGATTTTATTAACATTAAAAATACAATTTTATTTTGATAACTGTGACCAGTAACGTACCTATTTCATATTCAGGAAAAGCTTTCCTGAGTCTATTGCTAGGAACGCGAAATTTCGTGGCTTGAATTAAACTATTTATTTGTCAGATAAGTATAACAGATGGGTTCACCATCAATTAAACCAATATTATATTCTTTTCAGTAGTTCACTATTAGAATTTTACAATTTTTTAGGTTCATGGATAACTCGGATAAATGTAACATTATGAATGCTAAACTACATTTTATAGCATTATTTTGCACAAGCTGTTTCAGCTCTTCGACACTTGAAGCATCATCTGTTAAATTTTCAATCACGTTTTTAATTCTTCAAAATTATTCGCATAGAAAAGTGCAGCATTTAAACATGTTTCCCATCTTGCAATAATAGCTTCGCATAGTAATGGTATACCCGTCATTTCTTTTCTGTATTTATTTATTTTCGATGGTGCTTTAAGGTAAGCTTTTTTTAAAAATTATTTACACAAAACTCTTGGATCGGTTGTTTCGTCTACAATTATGTAAACGTAATTATTTCTATTATTCACTAATTATTTGGTCCATAACGCTTTTAGAAATATTTGGTATGTAGTTTTATCTTAAAGTGCTTTCGTCCGGAATTGATTTGCCAGTATGTTTTCTCAAAAATGATTTTAACACACGATTGCCCAGCTTATATGCATAGGAATATTTGCAGCAACAAATGCATTACATAATATAGTTTTACTATTCGAATTTTGAGAAGTAATCAAAAGCTGGTTTTTCTTTATAATTTTTTAATGAATTTAATGTGTTGAACTACAAAAAATATACATGTATTTTTGACATAATATTCAGTATATTACGTGAAGTAAAATGAAGTTTAGTTGTTTTGGAATTATGACCTAAAATATAATTTTTTTTCAGTAGACACAGATTTGTTACATACGAGACAATATATAACCTTTTCATCTTATAAAAATACTTCATTATTTTCATTTTAAGGAGCGATCCAATTTGAAATTTTACTTTTTAAAGTTGATTTTATTTTAGACATTACGTCGAATACGTTAACTGTGCGGTAAAACTGTTCAAAGAAATAGGTATTAAAGTAAACGCATACGAATCGCTGTACTGCTATGTTGAATTTAATTACCATCATTTCTAAATAGATGCTTATCGCCTGCTGGGTTCTCCGAGCTTCTAGAATAATTCAAACGAACGATAAACGTCTATGATTTAAAAATGTGGAAAAATTGCATTATACAATTCAATAGACAGAATATTTTTAGTACATATTAGCTATATATTTAAGTAGATCTGATTTATCTATATTGCAAAAAAAGTCGTAATATTGATTAAATCTGGTCTTTAGTTATAACAGTGGCTTCACCGACCTCATTATCCTAGGATGTTTTTTATCCATGTGCTAGTTGGTATGTTAGGTTAGTTAGGTATTCGATAGGTACTTTGTAGATAAAATTGTTAGACTAAACCGAAATGCTTGAAAATGTATCCGAAGATGCATTACAAGTCGTACATAGTGGTTAATAAGAAAAAGTTGGGTTCAATGTATTATTATTATTTTTTTTTATAAGAATTTTGACGAAAACCGTAAATATTATAGGCCTTTTTAAACAAACACAGTTAAACTCCGCTCAGAATTGTTTTTCGTTACCAATAAACAATCATTTTATACAATACTATATTAAATTTCTTTCTATATCCACAGTCCGAACTTTTCAGCAACACTAGTGCTCGGAGAAATAAGCCAATAAAAAATTCCTAAACAAAGTTTATAAAAAAATAAAACACAGCACAAAGATTGCACTACAAAAATTAATAATAATGATTTTTAATCATACGTGTTATCAACAAAAAAAATTTTAAAGAATGGTTTTAAATAGCGAATGAATTTCAATAGCCACATAAAATCTTCTCCGGATCACTGAAGTTATAACCGTTGTTCTTAAATGTTGAATTATGCTTTTTTTAAAATTTTTATTTCAAACTTATACGAATTATTTATATGGTAGCTAAGGAATGAAAAATTATAGGTATACGAAAATAAATAATTACTATTAATTAATTTCCCATTTATAAGTACTATTTATTTAGTATATTATTTATTTCGTTTAAACAAAAAAATGCACATATTCAGGTTTGTTTTAGTAAATTAATATTATTAACTACAAATGCATACCAACACATTAAATTTCTGATTTTTCCAACTAAAAAGTTAAGAAATTTGTACTAAGAACAAGGGTAGTTTTTATGATGTAAATAATAGATTCAAAGGGACATGTTTCTCTCCAATCTCCTCTTCCGTAAATTTGCCACTTAACTCAATGTTACCTAAATTAACTATTTTTGACAGTCTTTTCGACTATACTATCGCATATCAGTGCGAATAAATTTGAAAAATATAAAAATGCATGTATAACACGCGATATACAATAAAATAAGATATTACGAGTAAAGGTGGGCATTAACTAGTAAAAAAGTTTATTTGTCTTTTTTACTTTTTAACTTAACTAATTGACAGTTGAAATAAATTTTCTCAATTGGTTTAAAAATAATCCATCAAGTTAAAAAAATTTAAATCGTTCGTTTATACATAAATATTAATATAAAACAAAAATAATGTCAATACTGTAATAACAAAAATATTTGTGTTATTTTTCTTGATAAAATAATTTAATATATTGATATATTTTATTAGATTCGATGAGCAATAAGCCATTAAATTATACACAACAACAATATTATTAGGTTTGCAGTACAAATAATAATAATTATCGATAAGAAAATACCGCCAGCCAACAGTAAGATTAAATATTATTTAGGTAACAAATTCAGGGTGATTTACACCACTCAACTATAATAAGAAAAACCGTTTTGGTTCATAAAGCATGTATTTTTTAAATTATAATACTTTTAGTACATTTAATTATTACATGTGTATTAAGTTATAACAATAATATTGAAATAGATGTGAATGTGGAATGTATAAAGAGACGAGTGGTTGAAAAAGAAATTAGTAAGAAGGAAGTAAGAAATTCAGATGCCGGGAGAAGAAGGTACATTTTCAGTATTATTAAATAGTCTTATTTAGGTATCTAGAATCTAATTTATCTATATTAAATTAAGTCTGGACTTAACTTATATCTTAATGTAAATTATTTTCGATTTATCTGTAAAAGACCATTAGATGAGGACACATCCGTATAAGGTACGAATGTACCCCCATCATCACAACAGTTACACCGAATGTTACATAAACATGGAATAGCAATGTTTTATTTATATTTTTCTTATCTATACCATTACTAATTCTAATACATCAAAATTAAAAAAGCTATTATAACTTGGTAAAATATTTAAATGCGCGATGTTACAAACCTATCGAGTATATCTACATTAAGCATATTGAAAAAAATATATTGAATTGACTACTACTGCAAATACCTAGGTATCACATGTTACTGCACAATCAATCTGTGGGTGCTGGGTAAAAATCGCTAGTATCGTTAGTATTAATCATAGTCATATTATATATGCCTTGTATTATGTATTTATAATTCTGGTACAATTGTGTTGAAAATACTATTATCAATAAAAATAGAGAAAAAAATAAAGAGTTCTGTTGAGCCAACCACAATATAATGTACATTTTTAAAACGATTTTATATAATATTAAAGGATGGATATTCTGAGAGCAATACCGATTTCCGTACAGATAATGCACGTTATCGAGATTTGTAATATCTTCGACCGCGTACCTAATAAAAATTCTCTTTTAAAATTGTTCCTCTTTTCGTTCAACTTCTCGTATTTATTTGCAATCAAAGAGCATAGAAACTGTAACGGATATAGTCCCGTTATGCAATTTTCGGTAAATAGACTACTGGAACAACCTAAACAAAAATGCAAAATATGTATAAGTATAATATTAACATTAACCACGTATTATATACATATTTATACCCGTTTTCGTAATTCTAACGGTAGAATTAAGAGTAAAAATGACGGAGAGCATTGGTATATTCGTAAAACGCCGTAAGCTGTGACGTCACACAATTGATGATCCACTACTCTTCCCCGACCAATACTTAAAAGTGGAGTATTTCGTCAGCGGATTGAAGGAAATTAAAAATGTAAACACCAACATTTATTTTAAAAACTACCCCATCTATTTATGGATTTTAAAATATAAGTTGCAATTTGAAAATCAAAAGTAGATAGTTGTTTCACTTGCAAAAATTAGGGCGAAAAAATATAATGTAAATGTTAAATTTTAGAACAGCTTGTTTAACAAATGTTCTTTAAAAACAAATTTCGAAAGTGAAAAAATGAAAAAAACACTTCCCGAGAAAATGAGTGTTTTACGATAGATTGAACTCTCCGTGTAGGACATAGGGCGAAAACATATCATGCAGGTCAAGTTAAAATAATTATTTGAAAATGATCAACTTATAATATTATAGATAATAATACTTATAACGGGTTTGTACTCACATGGATATCCGACAAAGGTTACAGGACGATTGAAACAATAGATCAATATCGTGAATAGAGCGTTATGAGAAACGTCCGTACCACAGCGTCGACCGAATGAAAAATGGGTACGTATCTATGGCAACAGAAAAAGATCGATATTCTAGTAGCCGGTGTTCGACGGGCGTTGTCGTTCATCAACAGCTGATATTATTATGTAAGTATTTGATTTTGCTGGTAATTTTAATTTTCACTAGTTAACAGTGATTTGGTGAGGTAAATGCAATTTACTAAATTTATTCATTGTAATATTAAACGGTAACAGATCTAAAAAAAACACAATTTTGTAACCCCGTCAGTGTTGCCAAATAAGTCAAAATTCTACAAGACCTGGTGGATTCAGCTGCCCAACTAAGTGCGGGAAATAAATGTTCATTGGGTAGTAGAATTTTAGACGATTTTGAAATACTTCGGTGTAACTTTTGAACAAATATACTAATTATAACCGATGTGGTTTACTGACTCGCCAAAAGTGCCCTATGGCGGCAAATTACGGGCGGTTATAATATTTTAAAGAGAGGAAATTAATTTATTTGTAGAGATTTAAATATCTATGTTTAATTGGGGCACCACATATTATTGCCCTGGGGCGTCAATGACAGTTAACACGGCACTGCCTGCAACTGCGGTCAATGGTCCATCCATCATACATACTGTCTTTTTAAGTTTAGTTTATTCAATTTTAATAAATATTTGGATGGAAGGTTTTTACCCTTTCACGCTTTCAGGTAAATAAAAAACAGGCGATGTCCTGTTTGTCGATTATTTTAGGAACATCAAACGTACAGAACGCATTCAATTCGGCGCCCTGGGCGCTAATAGATTCTGCTCTACAGGGAAAGAGCTTTCCACCATAAATCGCTGTGGAATATATTCTACGACGGGCTCCTATCGTTAGAGGTCCTCAATGACGTCCACCTGGCGACCATGGCGGACGACGTGGCGGTAGTGGAGATCGCTCACAACGTGGAGCTGATGGAAATAATAATCAATGTGACGTTGAGGAGTATCTGCCAATGGATTTGCTGGAGAGCAATGGTTTTAAGGTGGATCCTCATAAATCGAAGACGGTGGTCCTTACTCGGAAGTAGGCGTACAGCGATCCTGTAATCCGATTCGAACTTGGGCTTTTTTTTGTTATTTGATAAAGCGCTGTATGACATAATGACCATGTGAATTTTATAAGTCATAACTAAGTTTAAATGGCTTAGTTCTACTCAAAAAGTAATGCAATTTTTACTCTAATTTATTATGAGAATATTAAGTACACTTTTAAAATAACAATAATACATTTAATTATATAAGACTATTGAACAGAGGATGTGTCTGGTAATCCAGAACGACCAGAACTCCCTGAAATTTTTATAAAACGATTTTTACGAACGTAAAAAAAAATTACAAATGTTTAGATTATTAAAACATATTTGGACCTTCCCCTCCCCCCTGGAGATTTATTTTTAGTTACGGCATTGTTAGTACCTATGAATTTAGGATACCAATTTGCCTGCTCCTTCAATGAGCTTCAGATCCGCTATAGAGTGGGGGAGTGTTAAGGGCGTCAGCTCTTTCGTTTTAAAAATTATAATATTTTACTTCACAACTCAAAAATTGGGTACTTTTATAAAATATGGGCCATAACGTTATAACAGTTAATTCATTTGTCAAGTCAAATTAAACAGGTTATAGTTGTTTGGTATCTACGTTCTCCGGACGGGAACGGTTTTCTAAATCCTCCTCAGCCGCGGCGAATCTCGGACGTAACAGATGGCCCGGACAATTATCTACTAAGTCTCTGGTGAAATGCGAACGACCGCATACGAACTATTTTAGTATCATAGATAAGTCAATATGATGAATAAATAATTAATCTATATACTAAAATACCTATGCGCGTATACTCGCAAGACCCGGATGCAGGAGCTGACGCACGAGGTAATCTCTCGATTACGTAATAACATGTTGTTATCGAAAAGCGCGGACTAAGCATATCTAGCTGGGTGTTTAGAGTATATATATAAGCCGCCGAAAACGCTTTTTTAGTCGCGTTTTACCACTATCATGGGCAAGCACCTTCACGCAATATAGACTAATAATTTTATTAAAAGTGTTAGAATATTTTTCAACTGAAATAAATAATCGTGTAAAATTACTGTGTTCAACTTATACCTGATTCTGAATTTGAAAATACGCCCATAAAAATGTAAGTACATTTATAATATTTGATTAATAATTAATGGTTTGTCTAACTGCATATTTCCACTGCCACGGTAATGAAACTTCTGGTCTTAAAAAAAATAACTTGATAAATATTCCCGCACAGAACTTGTTGTCGATAAGAGTTTTAACGTGGGAATTAATTTTATTTAATAACATAAAATAAAAAAACCAAAAACAAAGAAAACAGAAGAAAGATTTAAGAGCCAAATGATTATTTTATGTATTTATTGTTTAGAGGCACATGTGTATCAGTTTGCATTTTTCGTAGTTTTTGCCATTTATTTTATTGTGTGTAGAGTGTTTTTTAGTATGTCTAACTCTACTTTAACAACATTTTTATTTGATTTTTGTGTTTTGAATGTATTTATTATTAGGTTATTCTCCTTATATGTATAATAGTTTTTAGCCTAATGAAAATTAGATTTAGTTTGAAAGTATAGTAAAGTGAATTACCTATGAAATAATTGTTCTATATGGAAATCTTTCAAATCTTTATTAGATTCTCTTATGGACAATTTTTTGGTTTTTTTTTAAATTATTTTTATAACACTTTATTGTGCAGTTAATAATTTGCTGTACGCCACTATTACCACCCGAAGCTGTAATGCCATATTGTAGTAGTGACTGTGTTATAGCAAAATAAATCATGCATAATGTTTGTTTATCAAGCATCTTTCTCGCATTTATGTAAAATGTATTGATCTTGCGCATTTTAATGACGAGGTTATTTTCTTGGATATCCCATTTTAGGTATTGGTCAATGGTGATTCATGGATATTTGATATTTTCTGAGTTTTTTAATCATTTCAAAAGAGTCAGTATTTAAATCTTTTTTTGTTTTATGAATATTTAACTCATTTATTTTAGGCAATTTTTTTTATCTTGGAAAAAAGTAATTAATTTGGTTTTATTAAATTTTAGTCTCAAATTGTGTTTAAGAAACTACTCATTAATTTTATTCATGTCTGCCTTTGTACCTTGGAATGCAGCTTCCCAGCTATGTTCAAATGTTATTAATGTTGTGTAATCTATGAAGGAAATTAATTTTCCTTGCAGGTTTAAGTTACCTAGAGCGGTTAAATATATTATATATAGAATGGGGGATAATACTTTATTTTGTGGAAAATCATTGTTGATTATTATTTCAATGCTTAAGGTTTGGAAAATTCTGACTTGCTTTCTTCTGTTATTTAGGTAAGATTTTTAGGAGGTCAAAAGACTTGTGAACTATACTTATAGATTTAAAGATATTACTAACTGTAACTGTCTGTGGGAGACACAGTCAAACACCTTACTTACATCCATAAAGATACCTCTCATTTTAAATCGTTCTAAACCATTATAGATATTTATAAAAAGCTGTGCTAGTGCATTTTCTGTCCTTAAGATTTCTCTGAATTAATTTATAATTTGTTATTGGTTAAATTAATTTTATTTATTTCTTTGCAGAGAGATTATAACAAAAGTAATTTAAGAAGACGCCAAATACACATATACTAGTTAAAGTGAGTCAGCTCAGTTTGATTAATGAGTGACATAGCAAAATTATGATATTTAGATTGTGATATTTAGTATGTATACAAATAACAACATTTTATGAGGACAATGTTTTTGAGGGCTTTATGTAATATTTTTATAAAATAATATTAATTAGTTAAAGAAAAATAAATTTAACATGAATGTAACTTTTTTTATTCACATTTTGTTTAAAATTAAAGCAACCTAAAGCCATCAAACATATTTTTCTAGTTAAATTTTGTTATTTGAGTTTAAATTAGAATTTCTTAAATCATAAGTCCACAATTTATTTTCCAAGTAAAGCAATTTGCTATGTTGCTTGTTTGTTAGACTGAAACAAAAGATGAAAACAAAATTACATACTTTATGTATCTAAGAAGGTCTCCATCGACTGCTTTTAATATAATATTCAAACTTTGAGTTAAATAAAGCAGTTACAATTTTCAGTTTGTGGGTTTCTTACATCATAGAAACATCAGTTTGAAGTCTCTTTGAATTTTAAATACAGGTTCACACAATACTCACTGCACTTTTGGTAACACAGCACCACGTTTAGTACTTCTGGAGCATTTCTAAACATTTTATACTACAAACAAAAATGTATTTTATGTAATGTAAGCATATTAGGATTTAAGGAAACAATAAGATAATATAAGATAATATACTTCTGGCAATTCTCCTCATACAACTGATATAGTTTATAATAGTACAATATAATATATGTAAAATATCTAATTCAATAAATTTATCTACAGAGGTCTTCAATCTATATGGATATGATTGTCTTGCTCAATAATTATTTTTGGAATAATCCATAAACAACTAAAAATATTTAAAATATATATTATTGTAATACATACAATTTTAATATTTAAATTTTTTAATCAAATATTTGTACTACCTAAGCGTAAGACAAATAGTTTGTATTATATGACAATATTATAAACCTGAATAGTGTGCATTTGATCTTGATCTGGCGGGAGGGGTTTTAAAAATACACAAAAAAAAATTTTTTTTTAACTTTAATTGTGTATGTTAACAAAACACATAGGTATAAGTACTAATAGTTAAATTGAAAAAGCAATTACAAAACTTTACTTAGCTCATGGCAGTTAATTATTTTTAAATATGTATAGTATAGGTAAACAAAATGTGTATAATAAACATCCAAGTTATTTTTTTGTTACATACAAAGAAAGAATGAAAAACATTTTGAACACAGTGATAGATGATTAGATTTCTATGTTATAAATAAATATCACAATCTAATGGTTATCAGAAGGAAATTATAATATGAATAGTATAGATTATAAAGCATAGTATGTGTATGGGGATGGGCACTCATGGCAATTCCGAAATTTTTTTATTTAAGTTTATTGTGAACCCATATTTTTACAACCGGAATAGACATGTATTAGAGCTTAGATTAAACAGAACTGTACAATACAATTAATAATCAAACTATTATTTATATAATCTATCTTCAAAGAAATAAATAAAATAAATATGACCAATAACAAATTATAAATTAATTGTTGTTTGTTGAGTGCATACCTACATATCCCATTTCAAAATATTATTGGATAAAAAATAGTTCCTTTTGTAATATTGAATAAACATGGGCTGAATCAGAATGTTTTTGGTCATTTAAATATTAGTTTAATTATGCATATTACTAATTACCTTATGGATATTAGGTTTCAACTATGTTATTAAATTATAATTTAATATTTAGTGTTCATTTAAAAAGGTTCGACCTGACCATCCCACCTCAGTATGTACGCTCCAAATGTCTTTTACCATAATATTATTAATTAATACTTTAAGTTCAAACTAATAAACTTACCTCACAACTCTAAAGAATTTATAATACAGCATTATATGTTCTGATATTTGGTGCATTAAAAAACATAAATAGGTACCTAGATTTACATTATATAGTTATCTGTTGTTTGTAATTAAAATTGTTTGTACTACATACAATATTAAATTAAAATAATA